GCAGTTTTTGAACTTTGACATGTAAAAAAAAACTATGTTAATTCAAACTTTAGTAAAATTTATCGATATTATATTCATAACTGGACTCAGACGAGTGAATTTGATCAATATTGGCATTATTTGTATGTAATATTTACAAATAATAAGTCAAAACATACCTTGCACAAAGTAGCCCCCAAGTGGGGCTACTTTGTGCAGCGATAGGAATTCAGTTTAATAATCATGTTTTTAGTAAAATATTGATATAAAATTGTTAAAAAAGTTAATTGTTGACATTTTTAATAACAAAAACATCAAGATATGTAAAGATATTAGTTTGAAAATAATTTTCAGCGTTAAAAAACCATTTTTTATAAAGAATTTTTTCTTAAAAAGAATGTTTATTTCAAAACATTTGAGTTTAAACAAAAGGAAACCATATACATTTTTGAACATTGAAATGGATGAAATTTCAAAAATAATAATTATTACATATTCATTAACATTTATAATATTGATAAATTTGAACATAACATGCTTGAATGAACATGACAGAACTTGCTCTTCAGTTTCTGTCAAAATCACCTGATGTCCTATAAAATATATTTTTATGTGTTAAATCGTTTGATTAATTCATTAGAAAAATCTTTGTAGAAGAAAAATAATAGTTTACCAGGAAGTTTCACGTGTTTCTTGTGAATTTTATTAGAGATAGTATTTCTGTGGATTTTGTACTTCCGAGAAGCTTTTGCAATCGACATACCACCAGCAACTGCTTGCAAACATTGTTGCAGCTTTTCTAAAGTGTAATCACGATAATTTCACGTTCCAGGTACTTTTTTATAATGTCTGACAATTTTTATGTCGAATAAAAAACGAAAGAAACTTCGCACAAAGTAGCCCCACAGTGCATTTTTTTCATTTCCGTTTATTTGTTATTAATTTTAAATTTTTTTAACCCTAACATAATATAATTGTTTATTAATATGTAGATAAAAAATTTTGCATTTACGACAATTGTTTTATCAACGTCTTTGCATTTCACAGTTAAAGTTTCCACGCACACTTTTCGACGTCCGACGTTCTCAGAAAGTTGCTGACATTGGATAAACAAAACACACTCTGAGATTGTTTTAAAATTCGAGTAGTAATAGAGGAGACTTCTATCTTCAAATTCCACACATTTTTAACGTGGAAAAAGCATAATACTGAATAGCAGCACTTAAAAAGTGCCAAATTCTAATTTGCACAAAGTAGCCCCACATGACGGTAATATAAAGTCATCAAAGTTAAAAATAATTAGAAATCATATTATAAAAAAAGGTTATAAAATATTTAAATAAAAGATATCCATGCATAACAATAGCTTCATTTTTTTTCTATGATTAATTGTAAAAATGATTCTTATAAGGTTGAATACCACTATGGAACTCCATACATCATTTTGTATGAAACTATATAGTGGCTAGAGGGTACAGCTCCATCACAAGATAGACAACATTACAGGTTTTGCAATGCTATCTACAAGATAATATAAAGATTCTTTTTAGTTAGGCTTCTGAATATTATTTTGTATTTAACTTAACTTCAGACAACTCAAAGGACTAAAGAGAATTAATAAAGATAATTAAGAAAATATAATAAGTCTTATTTACTGCGCATAAGCTGCAAGTGCAGTGTGCAAACTAAACCATCCTGAATAACTTTTGATTTCATGATCAGATTTTCACGTTCCAAGACTCAATACGAATGTGAGGGGGTGACCTCAAATATGCTAAATAATTAGTGCAGACGATAATCGCTACGAAATCAGAAGCAAAAACGTACTTTTTTTGAATAAAACTACCTTTTTTTCGATGGATTCAGATTTCTGACTACCAAAATATAGGGGGTAGCCTCAATCTATGATCCCTTTTGTAGGGACAGGAGAGAGTTATAAAATTTGGATCCATAATGTAAATTTTATTTTTTACGTATTTTGCCATATCTCGGGAACTTATTAGGCGAATTCAAAACTTTTTTGCAACAATTATGAAATTCGCTTATCCAAAGATTCTTTGCAAAATATAACTTTTAGTAAACATTTATTACTTTGTATTATTTTTTTATTTAATGATAGACAAAAACGTTTAATTATAAGGTATACAATTTCTTACATCATTTGAAAGAATTCAATTTAAATAATAAAACGAACCATAGAATCTGGTTTAATTAGTTTATTTGGTTGTTTCATCCATCGTAAGAGAGGAAAAATACTGGACTTTTTTTTGTGCTAAACAGCTTTACAGCACTGCCTATCTATGCATTAATGAGAATATTGTATTCTAGCAGCCTAGCGTTACAAATTGCGGCATACAGTACACTGAAAACTTCATATTTGTTGAAAGGAATAGAGGAAATATTGTGGTATCAAAACGCTTTGACTCGAATCCCGTTCTGTCGATCCATGGCAGATTGGCCACCTCGACCATACCATGTACCCAGATGCAAGTAACTAAATGGCTCCAATAGGTGAGCCTAGTTGCAGCGATATAATTTTGGTTGTTTATCTGTATTAGGGGAAAGCAGTTAAACGTTTTTCCTCCAAATTAACAGTTTGAATACCTTATTATTTATGGTTATTTGACAGTTTTGTTTGAATACCGCAAAATAACAATTAAATAGTTATTTAACCATTTTTTCGAGAAATTTCTAACAGTGTGTAGTGTCAGTTTATTAGTTAATAGAATGGATGTTTTATGTGCAAAATAGGTTTTTAGAAGCTGGAATAGAAACGTAATCATATTTATTTTAAGAAATTAATTTCTTTAAGGCGTAAGCAACGACTCTTGTTTTTTTGGGGATTTTCCAGAGAAGCTGCTTTATATTCATTGGAAGTACCGAAAATGACAAGATGCTTGATATTATGTGTAAGAGCTCATTAGTCAGATATACCCTTTTGAAGATCAAGGTATGGGGTAATAAAATAGTGAATTAAATTCATCTCACGGAGCAGCTGTCAATATGTTTCATAAGTAAAAAATAAAAACATGTATCCTCGGAATTAAGCTCTTATTTTTGAGTGAAAGCTTGTAGCGCTTTTCTTTTTTCATAAGACACTTTACGATGCTTCTTTTAACAGGTTCGCTTACCAATTATAATCTCTACTTGATTTTTAATTTTTATACGTCGAATTTTTTATTGCGCATCTTCTAGAAATTTACCGCAACCTGAGCGTAGTGCAAAGATGAATTATATTATCGCATCTCTTAAATTTGAGTACACGATACTATGGTTCAATTAAAGTGGAAACATAATTAAATTGAAAAAATTAATGAAATTGGAGTAAAATTGTACTGTATCATGGTTCAAGGTACTGAAAAACTAACAGCTGCTCTCTAAACATCATATTTCTGCATATTTCTTTTTCAAATAATTTTAAATTTTTTCTATAAGGATTTGTTATTTTTGTACGTAAACACCGCTCAAAACATAAGAGGAAGGGATGAAAAATGACTCCTGAACATAGAGATTCTTTTATTTTTAGTTCCAATTTATTATTCTTCTCTCTTTTGTCCTACGAACAAAAATTCACTGAACAGTAATATTCTCCAGATCGATATTTCTTTACTAGTTTTCTCGTAAACACATTAAATTCGTGCCTTTCCGCACCTGTTCTAAAATCCATATAAAAGAGTATTTTAAATTCTAGTCATAATAACAAAATTTTGATGTATGCATTCCATCAATATCCGAGATGAAGGCCTGATAAAACAGCAAATTTTCCACGTTTTTAATATTTTTTATTTTTCTCTGCTTTAATAATGGGAACTTATTTTTTGAATGAAATTTATGCATGTTTGCTGTTATTGCTGTTGAATTATGGGTGATAAACATTTGCATCCATTTCATTAATTGCTTTTTTTTCGTTCTCCGTCATGAAATCAAGCTATTTCTGTTTTCTGACTATAATATTTAAGAGTAATACAATTATTTCCACCAAGTCACTAACTGAACACCGTTTTAATTGCATTCTGGACTTGTGATTATAGCATTCTTAATTTGAAAGGTAAGATATTCATTTTCTTGACTTCATCATACTTTCGGGTTTTAAAATTATTTAAGAGGTGAGGGACATGAAGAAAGAACTCCTTCCGAAATGTTTCATGACATTTAAAAAATGTGATTAAATCTGCTACAATATAGTAATGTTTAAAAAAAATATATTATTTATTACAAAAAATTATCACAAATATCACTCAAAAAATCGACCGAAAATTTCGTATGAAGATAAATTTAAAGACAAGAAATTGATTTATGAGTAGTTTTTGTCAATTTTGAACTATTAATATAGTTAATTGTTTGAAGCGGAAATTTTTCAAAACTTTTCAATACTGTTTTAACCCTTTCGCTACCACTGGGACATATATGTCTCGCAAGCAGTTTCAAATAACCCTATGGGCTAAATATGCTTTGTATTATTATGAATGCATGTCCCACTGGTATTCCTTGATATCACTAACAATTCAGTAATTTTTTCCCTTTTTTAGAATTTTATCGATATTTGCATTGTAACTGATATATTTAATTACTTAGTTCATTTTTTTCTCCGAAAACAAATTGGTAGTGAAAGGGTTAAAAAGATTAAATCTGGTACTTTAATTATTGTCATTTTTTTTAAATCTTTCTCAAAAAAAAAATTATTCTTACTTATCATCATATGTATATTACACTCATTGTAAATAGAATAGGTGTTTCAAGGCTATGTGATTTCCCCACTTTTTCTTTTTTCCGTCACTATGGTATCTATACATCTTGCTTTTCTTCCACGCCTGTACGTAATTATTATTATTATAACATTGTAATAATAAACAGTTATGGGTTACTGATACATCTTAACTACCGTGCGATTAAAAAGAGTAGCGCCGTTGCCAGCTAGGTAAATCATTTAAAAGAAACCTCCATACTTCTGATTTATGTAAATAAAGGATAACAACCGTTTTATAGGTTTTCTAGTTTTTCTATGCATTATAGCTTTAATTTTAGATAATTTTGGCCGATTCAGATTTTATACAACAAGCATAACGTTCTCAAATCAAACGTTGTTGTTGTGGATTATCCTCCAATGCCTGACGAAGTCAGACAAGATCCATCAGAGCCTAAGAAAATCGAAGACTAGAAGGGGGGATAAGTATATGTCATCTCTGGAAAGTCCCAAAGAGTCCAGGATGTGTTCGGGAGAAGCCTGATCAGTCTGACATTTGGAACAGACCTCGAAGATTCTCCTGCCTTCGAAAAACGAGAGACTTTTTGTGTGACAGCTTGCTAATCTGGAAATTGCGGTTTTAGAAGCTCTGCCACTATTGAGGGTGAATGAAGAACCTATCTTTTTGCCCGTATACCAGTGATGGCAGGGAGGAATCTTCCACCCCATGGGAACGTCATGGGAAAGTTGTATGGCAGGTACAAGAAACAAAGCGACGCAAGAGAACATCTGAATTATTTATTGGTCAAAGATATTACGTATGCTGTGGTAGACGATATGGAAAAATGTCACAAAAGATGTTTAAAATTTTCACCATTGCTAGCGATTTTTGCTTTACACCGTCGGGACATGGATTGGTAGTCTTGCTCAAATAGATCTGGATTTTGTTGGATGTAGGATCAGCAGCTCAGACGATTCTATCAATTAGATCCATTTCAGAATCCACAGGTGCTGCGTACACTACACATTTTAATGCACCCCAAAGATTGAAATGTATGCTACTTAAATTAGGAGAGCATGGTGCCCTAGGGACACAGGCCCACCACGGTCAATTCACTTGAGAGCAACATCCCCTAACTGAGAACGAAGACGCTTCCAACCTATGGTTATTATTCAAATCTGAATACTTGTGATTTTCTTTAGCACTCATAAAGTTTGTCCCAATTATTCAGGAACACCTTACATAATTTGCGCTAAATAAATCATAGGAAACAAAGCTCTAATTTAATTCTTATTTATGTAAATAAAAGATTAAAAAAGGGTGTACCTTTTTATTGTTTTTTTTAGTTTCTTTTTGTACATTATATATTTTTTTTTGATAATTACTGTCGACTCGAATTTAACGAGCATTTTGGCACAACCCTAACATTCTCGTTAGAAGCGAACTTAACACCCACGCACAGAACTGTGAGTGCATATATTTATACACGCATAACTAACAGTCTAAAATGTTTTTTTATTTCAGTGTATTTCAGGTTGCTTTATTATTCAATTCGGAAGCATGAATTTAGTTCATCGTATTATTGCCGGAAGAAAAAAGGCATTGCCACCCATTGATGATGAAATACTTTTCATGTCTGCAACGGAACTAGCTGAGAGAATTCGCAATCGTAAAGTAATAATTTATGTGTATATATATATATATAAAAATATAT